GAAAGCTTCCCAGCCACTCTTGAACAATGCCCATATCCTCCAGTTCAACATACTCCAGGTCCTTCCAGAGCTAAGCATCACCTCTGAGGGTACCATGCTCTCAACTTTGAGGGTTGTCACCTCTGGCCTCCCAGTTAATTCCAGCTTCTGAGTTCAAGTACAAGGCAAAAGGATAATCTCTCTGCAATGTTTTTGGACTGGATCTATTGGCAGAGAGACTGGCTTTTTTGTGATTTCACTGAAAAAACAAATGAAACCTGCAAGTGTTAGGGAGAGGTTGAATTTGATCCTTTGAAAGCAGTTTGACAAAATGATAGTTTTAGTGGGGCTGCATTTTGTGTTTCTTTTTCAAAAGGATCTGTGTAGCTACCACAGTACTTTACTGATAACTTCGGGGTGACACAGGTTTGTCTCACCTAAAAAGAAGGTTGCTAAGTCAAACTTTCAAAAAGTGACCTGGATATAAACTAATATAGCAGTGTTTGTACAAGTTTGTAGCAAACTGAAATAATATGAGATGTGAGCTTGCTACCTGTTAGATAAGGATTCAGAAGCTTAGCTTCTACTTTTCTTAGCTGCCATCAGAGCATTTGAGAAAGGTTGGGAGGTTTTGCACAGTTTATTTTGAGTGGTGTTACATTAGCAGCATCACATTTGTATGACTTCTGCACCACAGCAAGTGCTTTACAGAATACCAAACAATTATGTCATCTAGTTTGATTTCTTGATTCATCTTTAAGTTGCTTTTTGTAGTTCTGGGCTCTTTTGAACTGAAATTAGGGAGATGAACTATCAGAGTTGTGCAAAATTTGAGTAGAGTTTGCAGAAAACACAACTGAAATCACAGCATTAAGAACAAAAATCCAACTGATATACATTTAGTAGTTTTCCTCAAGTAATTTTTTGGCTTCACCTTGCAGAGAATTTGAGTGGCTCAGTCTCTCTACCAAAAGCGTAACCCAAGGGTCCCCTGGATCCCCAAACCAGCAGTGAATTTGCCAAAAGGTCAGCCAGTGTGTCGATAGATATGAAAACACAGTGTCCTGTTCGGGATGGAAGGAGCTGGAGACATCCCCCGCCTCCCCAGGACCCTTGCCTCCTGTGAAAAAAGTCATGATACATCACACATGTGAGAGATATCTCTCTTCTTCTGACAACTGCAAAACTTAAAAGCAGTGATTTGAGGAGGGGTGATAGATACTGCTGGATTGGCCTTCCCCCGTGTAGCACACATCTATTCTTCCGGTGGGTAGCACATAGCTCGTTACAGTTCTGTGCAGAATGATTTCTCTGCATGGCCAGGCGATGTTTAAGGAGACTAATGAGAGAAATGATACGGCCCAGAACACTGGTGTCAGGAAATATATTGCAAGGTGTCTGTCTTGGGGAAGCTGAAAGCAGGGCTTGTCTTATTATATATTTCAAAGGGGATGTCTGTGTCACCACCAAGTTAGACATGCACCCTGTCCCATACTGCATTCAAATTAGATTTTTTCAAATAGCAGCTATCCATTCAATTTTCATTGGCTTAATGATAGGTTCTGTGTTGTACGGGGGCAAAACAAGTCTCTGTCTCATTGGCACGCCATTCTTTTGAAGTGGGAACTTGTTTCTGAGGCCATTGTAACATAACTATGCAAGTGTCAGAGGACAGGATAGAGGCTATTATGGGCTTCTGCTTTTTTTGTGAGGAAAATCAAACAAATGTCCCCAATAGAAAAAGGAAGCCAGCAGCTGTATGTGATGACCAGAGAATGGTTTTGTGCATTGACACTGTCAGTACCTGGTCTGTTGTCAAACTGATAAAACTGCTTTTTTTTTTTTTTTTTTTTTTCTGCTGTCAACTGAAGTGGAGAAAATCTCTCTGAATTTTCATGAGATACCTTTTCCTCATTTCCAGCACTTAACAATCCAATTATATTTGGTTTTATGCTACCGTTTGCCTCTGTTGCCATTGTTAGGGTTTTGAGTCAGAGTGATTTTTCCATCTTGATGGTGCGGAAGAAAAACATGTTTCATTGTGAGTGGTTATAACCCTGGAAATCTTTTCTCTTGCTTGGGTTGATGATGATTTTTTATGTTGCATTCTATACTGACACCTAAAGTGAAGTAGAATGAACCATAAGGAAGAGAAGCTTTACTAAAATATAGCTGCTTCCACTGTGTAGAATTACATTGGAAAAACCTTGCATCTCTCTAATTTTATGCTTTCCCCCCCCCACTACTATTCAAGTAGTTTTTACAAATTAATGTTGTTTTCGTAAGGATTGCTTATGAAGCCATTGTTCCTAGCAATCCCTGCTCACCTGTGAGCAAATTACATGGCACAGATAAGATTTCTAGTTGTTTCTCAAGACAGTGACCTTATAAACAGATTCTACAAGACAAGCTTTTAAATTCCTAACCAAATATATTATGTGAGTAATAAAAAGAGCTCCTCAAAATGGCCACAGAGGCATTTCAGAGCACATTCTTGGGAATATTCACTTATGCTAGCATTCATTAAGTTTGCTTTCAGCAAAAATTCTCATGAATGAAATTTTATTCACCAGTCATTATGATTATTACTTTACTATCACAGCAATAACCAGATGCTTTGTGTAAGGCTGGGACCTGATTTTTTCTAAGGCTGGAGAAACATCTTATAGGATCTCCAGAGAGTGTATTGTCTAAATATAAGACCAGACTCAGCTAACAGCTCATGACTGGGAACTGCAAACCCTCAGAGAACAATGGGTTTGTTTACAAGAAACTTCACGGCTAAAGAAGGATGAATGTAGAACCATACCAAATTTTATACCATTTGAATTATAGTGTGTTACAGTGTTACAACTCCAGTGAATATGAATGTAATTACACATTTTTATGTTATAAAGATAGTTTAGGTGATGATGACTAGTCTTATGGTTAAAAGGGACTTTACAGATCCAGTTCATACTATACTGGACTAATTTATCTATACACTAATGAACACACTGGAACAGGACTGTTTTGGGGTTGTTTTATTTTAAAAATGGCCTAACACAAATATGTACCAGGAAAATCCCTGAAGCATAGTCCGTGCCAAAGAGCTGGACTCTGAGTTGTGCAATATGTGGACTCCCAGAATGTGAATAAAGCCCTTTCTGGAAAAGTTAAATGAGATTTTTAGCTATGCACAGCTGAAATATGCATGAAGTCTTGTTTCCTCCAGTCTAGAAGAACATAAACAAGGTATCCTATGATGCTGGAGGAAGACAAGTGTGGCAGGGCAGTTGCAGCTTTTGACTGTATTAGAAACAAGAGACCAAGGAAGCATGGGCAGTCTGAATATGGAAACTGGGCCTAAATCTAGGCACGAGGAATTATTTTCAGAGCTGGAGCTCATTTGCTGAGCACAACGTGTATACTGTTGCTTTGTGTGCCTTCATTTACTGGGGGAAAAAAAACATGTATCCCATGCCTTGGAGATGATGCAGTTTGGCCAATTTGTAGAGTCCTTCAGCATGCAGTGATTGGCACTGGCTACTATCTGGAGCGTTGATTCCTGGGTGTACCAAGGTGCAGGATGCACTGTGGTCATGAGTACAAGGCTTGTAATGAACACGTGCAAAATGAAAAGTTTCTGTGGGGTGGAGGGAAGGAGCTGTTAAAGAGGTAGTGTGCCAATCCCTTGTATTACTCAGACCTCAAAATAGCCATTTCTCTCTGCCTGTAGGATAGGTCAGACCAATTTGTTGGCAGCAGAGCTAAGCACAGGATGCTAAGTATTTCTCCTCTTTTGTTGCCTCACTGCTCTCTTTTCCCATGTCGTGTGAAAAAAAATAATCTGATTAAGTCCTTTGACATTTATAATTAATTAGTCCTTCCTTACTCTTATCTTGTTTGCCTGTCCTTTTCTTTGGCTTTTCCTTTTTGTACTTTATCTCTCAATCATCAGATCCAAGAAACCATTCAAATTATTTCTTTTTAAGAGATAAATGCAGGTTTACAGCATTTTTTTCTTTTGAAGGAAGACTTGGTCCCTTCTTTTGTGCATCCCACTGCACAAGTTGTCATGTTCTGGCACTGCAGTCACTTCTAAGTCCTTGAGCTATCATGTATTCTGTTGGTATTTGAGGAATTGAAAATCAATCACATAGCCTTATGGCTTAGGTTCAGCACAATTCTATTATGCCCGCTCCCAAAAGTCAATTCAAACCTTTTGGGCTATATTTCAAAGCCTAATCAAGCTTGCTGTCCAGACTGGTTTGGAGTCAACTCACTCTTGTCCATAGGTCTGTTTATTAGAGTTTTTCTGTCAGAAACTAGTGTGAAAGAAAGCAGTTTTCATAACAGTAGAATCATTCAGTGGGCAGTTTGCAAAGACATGCCACCCAAACAGGTGTAATGCATTTCTGAAAATATATTTTTTTAAAAATCCCTATGTTGGTACAAGTGTTCATAACTGTACTTTCTCATAAAAAGATACACCAGTTTACTGAGGTCAGTTTCTAGTCCTGTCTTGTTAAGCTGGTACAGATATTATTGGAGATGCAACCCTAAACCTAGATGGTGACTTCCTTGCTTTGGACCATGTGAACAAATGAGGATGGTGTCTCCAAGCAGATGGACCAACTTCTCCAAGCATGGGTTGTGCCACCTCCACTTGGCAGGTGCATGTGGGACAGTACATTGACTACATCAATACCCTTACCTCCATCAAACGCTAAGAGATCACCCTGAGGATAAAAGAAACTCTGTATGGAGCTGGCCATTAGCAATCCTATGTGAAAATATATACCTGTTATGTATTGGTGACAGATCAGTCTCATCCTGCTGGGAAGAAAGCAGCGACTAGCTTTAGTGATGGCACTTCCAGCTGATTCATAAAGTCTCCTTGTTTGGTGAAAGGCTGGTGGCCATTCTGTGGGAGCCAAGTGGGCAGTATAAATAGGAAACAGCTCTCTCCTATCCCCCATGAGTAAAGGCACTGCTTTGTGACCCATTCTTTGTTCTTCTTCTCGTCCTGTATTCCGCAGAGACGCAGAGATTTTCTTCAGTGGATGCTCGACTCCCGCAACTCAGCTGACTCCCTGGCAGCCGGGTGTTTTGATGTGAGCAGTCCATCTGCTGCTTCCAGACAGAACGAGTCACCTCTTGCTGGCAGAGCCCCATCTGAAAAGGTTCAGAAGATGTTAACAGAGGATGAGATAGCAGGCCAAGCTTTCCTGTTCCTGATCGCTGGGTTTGAGACCACCACTAGCACACTGTCCTTTGCCACGTACTTGCTAGCCACCAACCCAGAGTGCCAGGAGAAGGTGCTTCAGGAGGTTGATGAGTTCTCAGCAAAACATGTGAGTACAATGTGCTGGTGTGGAGCTTCATGCAAGGAGCAAGGCAATGTGAAGGTTGTCATGCCACTGTGGCACCTGAAAAAACCCTTTTTGTCTTATTTATGTGTGCATGTATCAACATTTTATTAATATTTTCAGCCAAAATTTCAAAATTTGGGGTGTTTTTTTTGGAAACTGTTAAATAGTGTCACTTTATAGCAACTGAAGAGATGGCCCAGAGACCTTGTGTCATGGTGAAAGCTTAACCTTTACAAAATATTTTACATTATTGAAATAAACCAGCTGTCACCAGACTAAAGCTACATATTTCTATTTTCCCTCTTGTCCAGATTTTTATTGGTCTTGTGATCGGTTTTATTTGCTGATCTTTGTAAGGAGATAAACAACATTCTTACAAACTATCAACTGCAAAGTATTGCTTTAAATGGTCATACTTTTTTTTTTCTTCAGCAGCAGAATATATGTGTATGCTTTAAAAAAAAAAAATCACAATATCTAATTTTCTTATACTGTGTTCAAATTACTTCTCCTTCACTATCTGTATTTACCAAGGCATTTATTTTTCCTGGATAACTGTTGACAATATTTTGTCTATCTAGCAGACCATGCAGCAGCTATTCTTCCACCCTACAGTCTCTGCACAAGTTATGAGAATTCAGATCAAGGGTCTTTTTCTTTTCATGAATGCTTTTATAATGGATCACGAGGCTAACAGGAATAAAATGACACCAGGCATGGCTGTCTTGCAGGATTTTAGCTGCTGGATTTGCATGCTGAAAGCCTTAACTACACAGTTTTAGGAGTGTCATACTTCTTATGCATTCCATACTCTGTGTTGTACTTACAGAACAAGAAAAGAGTTGTATAATTTTCTGCTTTGCTGGTAATAGAAAATTCTTGACTATGCAAAGCATGCCCGTTCAAAAGCTACCATTTCCCTCCTTTTGCTCGTGCAAGCATAAAAATCAGGATTTGTGTGCACAGAAAATGTCGTCTTTTGTCTTGCATGATGAGGTTCTGAGCATGGTGGTTGTCCGTCTAAGGTTGCATTTGCTCTGAGGGTGCATATGGATGACAGCATTGGAGGTTAGAACTGTGCAATCTGATCCACAGAGCTTTTCTTGGTGCATGCTTCATACCTCTGGTGTGAGTTAACTCAGTACAATGAGACTGTTGATGTGTTATGTTCTAACATAAAGGGCTTGGGTTATATTCTTAGGTTATTAGCTCTCAAACGCTCCAGCTGGAGTGTATTTACTTGCTTCATTCAAATATGGCAGATCTAATTATGCCTTTGTGTCTGATTAGTTCAACTGACCTCCTTAAGTCCTGCAAAGATGTGAAGATGCAACTTGGCTTGGACTATGTGCAGTTTACTGGGTAATACTAGTGGCAGAGTTGTGCATAGAAAGCACTATTATACAGCCCCAAGGAAAATATGGTTCATCTTCTCACCAGTTCCTGAAAACTGATACCTAAGACACCAAAGTGAAATTGCTGGGAGAGGTACCCAATATGACAGGTACACGATGTCATTCGTATCTGTCTGTAGATAGGATATGAATTAGTAAACTTTTCAGTGTGATTGTATAGAAAGCTGACTGCAAGCAGTCCTTAACTGGCCAATTCCTTACAGAGATTTTACGTAAGGAGACCATGTATATGACTGTGCCTACATTACCAAGTAGTGTGCTCCTGTAGACGCATATTCATCATCTAGCACAGTTGGTAGTGAGGACTGTTGCGTTCACACTGTACACACCTCGGGAGTTTATTTTGGGTTAGTTCGAGTCTGGCCCTTTGTACCAAATTCCCCATAGCAGTTGGACCAATCCTCTGGTTTAGTTTCAGGTAAAGGAGCCCTTGCTGTGCACTTGGAGACTGCAGTGTGAACCAGTGCGAGAGACTCGCATGTGAGTGTGCTCCTGATCCAAGCTGGAGAACTAAATGGACCCTATGTTGTGTATGGTTTCTCTGAGCTGTCACTCACTATTCATAGTGTTTCAATAATAATCAAATTGAAATACATAATGCTTGACTCTTTTGGTGCTCTAACAGGAGTATTTTGCTAATAATTTCAGATTTTGCAGTATCTAGGAGAGGTGGTGGAGCCAGGGACACTTGTGGCAGAGAAGTTAAAAGTTGGTGTAGAGAGATGGCACTCAAATGAAATGAATTGTTTTTGCAGATCAGCACTGTACGCAGTCTGTGTGGTGCCTCAAGCCAGACTCATGGCCGCACCCCAGACAATACTGTCCCATGTCATATATTGATTGGCAGTACCTTCCAGATCACTTCCCCATACTTTACTAGTTTTCAGGTTTAGCTTTAGATAATGCATATGTGGCTATATGGCCAAGGAGAAAAGGGAGAGAATGAAAATGATTTATCTGCTGTCCTTGATACCAGAAAATTCATAGATCTAATCTGTGCAGCCCCATCCTTCAAAAGATTTCCTATTATAAACAGTTCATGATTTGGAGGAGGGCAATGCACTGCTCAAGGAGCCCATCTCAGAATAAGGAAAAAGGTGCAGCAGTGCAGTCCCCTTAGTGACTGTAATTAACTACTTTTAGCCTAGAAAACAAGATCTATGTGAATGATTTGCAAGTTATGGAGCAGAAGCTATTTTAAAACTGGGAATATATAGATGCTGTGTTCAGTTGTCATGCAAGGGAGAGGAAGGGAGGGGGCATAGCAGCTACAGGCTCATGGTTAGTATCAAGTCAGTTGCTAAGAAATTTGATTATTGCTTGCGCTCAGCACATCAGCTTTGCTCTTGTAAAGGTGCTTTGCAATTTTCAGAAAGGAAGGGTTTTAGAAGGCCAAAACATGTATAATGTTAAACAGTCAGGTTGTTCTGGCAGGTGGTGGAAGACTGCTTTGATTTGCAGATATGCAAGTGTTAAACATGGTACCCTCTTCAGCCAAATTTATACTCAGGTAATTATAACTACAAAATTCTCTCCACCACATCCCCCTTCCTTCCTCCAACCATTTCTGTTGCCTCATGCAGCATGTTTTATTGCCCTGCTCTATGGTGTAGAACTGCGGTATGATTTTACAGCAGTTGTGGTGTATCATCCCAGAGATGGCTGTACTTTGGTGGTGGACAGAGTGATTTATATACGCATTTACTCAAGTATATAAAGACATGTGAGAACCATCTGAGCAAAGGTGCTATAAATGACAGGTGCCATTCCAGAAGTTTTGGCATACCAGTTGAAAACTCAAAGCACAGTGACCTTGTGATAGGCAGTAAGAGTAAGGTGGGTCCATCTGGTCATGCAACAGTATTTGGGTTGCACTTGAGGATACCCCTGAGTTTACTCTGATCTTCATTTGTCTTGCTTGCACAGTGGATACCTTAGCAGATTGGGACAGCATGAAGGGGAAGGAAAATGCCAAGGCACTGCTGTGTTAGAGATCCCTGTAGTAGCCTGGTGCAAGCTGCTGCAGTGTGGTACAGAAATACGAGGTTAAGTGCTGGAAGTGGTCTAGCCCCAGTGCTGTGCTGGGAGTCCTGGACCCAGAGGAGAGGCAGGTCTGACTGACTGTGTTGTACTGCTGAGTTGTGTTTTGCCAAGTTTGTCTCAGAGCAGTCTTGGGAGACCTCTCTGCCTCTCTCCACCACACTGTAGAGGTGGCACTTCCAGGTAAGTATCCTCAAACAGCACCTGGATTGAGTCATGAGTTGTTGCCTCTTTTTTTACCTCTTGGACCTTCCTCATCTATTCACTAAAAGGACTTTTCAGGTCTTCTCTTGGCTGATAGTTCAGTGTGGAGGCTTGATGATATCTCTTTTCCTTAAAGTGAGAAGTGGCACCTGCCCATTTCAGAGTCTGGCAAGCAGGAGAAACCTCTATCGTCAGCTAGTGTAGAGGGACGGACACACAGGTTATTGCCCTTCTCACCTCTGTCTGGATCTTTGGAGTGTAGGGGAAGGTAGTGCACAGCTCTTCATCATCTCTGGGGAAGCAGAGAGACAGGGTACTGCGTCACCACACACTGCATCTTCCCATTGTACCTGTGAATCCCTGTGTCTGCTCCAACTGCACTGGGAAAGACAAGTTTGAGCATAATTCCTCTAACAGATGAACTTAAATTAAAACTGTAGAGATTCTGACCTGGCCCTCTTCATTAATCCATCGGGGGTGTTCTATGTGCCCTGTGAAGGGCCATCCACTGAAAATAAGATGCACCTATTTGCTGCAGGCTTGTTGCTGGGTGTGCAGCTTGCTTTGATACAGCGAAGACAAAATAAACAAGATGAAAAGAGAGTTAAATATGAGCTAGTGGGGGCAGGACGCCTACATCTGTGTGTGTATAAAAGAATATTACTTTCTGCAGAGACCATAGATCTGTTTCCAGGACAGCAGAGAGGGGTCAGATCTTCAGAAGGTTGTAAACTGGCACAACATGTTTAGTATTGGTTACAGGTATGATGATATGGATCAGTTGAGGAACTAGTCGGGTATATACCAGTAAAAGAGGACAGGGGAAGCAGGGGAAAAGGTTGCTATTTGAAGATCAGATTATTTTTACAGGGTTTGGGACTAAGCATCCCTAAACTGTTACAGGCTATACACTTGTGAAAGAGATGTTTTTATCCATGTTAACCAGGTGAGAAGGAATACACCTGGATCTTCACCCTCCCCATTTCTGTCAAAAACAATCCCTGTGTGGAGTTGTTACAGAGCCCTTTGGAAAAATATATTTGGCAGGTTTTGTACTTGTTACTGATTATTTTGTTGTAAAAGCAAATTGATTTTTATTTAATTTTGTGTGTGTGCGCTTAGCAAAAATGTAGCATGCCTGCAGCACGCATTTGTTCTGAGCAGATGGACACTTGCTTCTGAGCCGCACTGCACTGTGAGCTGTCTTTCTCTCCTAAGCCACATCTTCTATGCTGGGGATTCCCTTAATATGAGGTCTCTCTTTCTTACCTCTCTTCCCATTTTAGCATTTAAATGTCTCTCTCTCTCCTTCCCTTCCCCAAC